AAAGTGGTGAAAAAGCTGTTCCATCCATAGTTGGAGTTTTTAAGAGTTGAGAAATTGTTAGTTTTCTTTCTTCTTTGCTTATAAACAACACTAAAAGGTTTCCCTGTAACGGTTAAGCATTTCAAGTAGTTGAGTGGTCTCCCAAATCTTTTCATCTCAGAAAAATTCTTTTGTTTTTGTGTTGCTATGGAGATGGTATTTTGGATTGCAACTTGCACTTATCAGATCAAATTGAGGGTTCCTGCAAGGCATTGTGGGATACAAGATCCTTCTCAAGTTGCAAAAGAAAGGTCATAGTTTAATTAGATGTAATTGAGTCGATGCATGGGGATAAAACTTTGTATGTTGGCTTCTGTATGTGTGTAGTGTTCAATCAGTTAGCTGTCTCTGCCTCTGCCTTCAGTACTTGCTGTGGTCCATTGGTCGTATACATCCTTCTTATAGTGTGTTGGATTTACTTTGTATATCCGGAATACTGACGGAATATTCATAGCCATGTATATTTCAAATTACGGGCATGTCCGTTATCCTTGGGTAAGATTCTGCTATCTCGATGGTTACTTAATTTTCACTTCACTTTACTCAACTGACGAGTTTATCTCTTCGATTTTGATCATAATGGTTTTTGTTTTTTTCCCGCCAATCAATTTTGTTTTTTCTGGATTATAACATGTACTTCTATTCAGTGTACATCCCCAAGCGATGTTTATCATGTAACACTACTCACATTCCAACTCACTAGTTCAGTTACCATGTTGAGTGAGTGAATTTAAAATTTTTGCCAACTTTGAATTTGACTAACTATTCTATGTTCAATATTTTAATAAGTGAAAACATGGCTTGTTGTATTTCCTTACTTGGCCTCAGATGAGTTTTGAGAATAAGCTTTGAATCGTGTCGTTTTCATGGTTTCAGCCAGCAGATGTGAAACCAATTTCATGTTTGAATTATGCTTGGTATGTTACAGCAACTGAGTTCATCACATGCTTGCTGAAGATGGAGTCTTCATAATTTAGTTAGTATTGTTTCCACCTAGTGTGGAAATGACAATTTGCCTTTGTTCATCTTTGTACAAAGTTTTTCTAAAAAAGAAAAATTTTATTCAGGAAAGTATGAAACTATAATTTCAGGATATAAGTATTAGTTTTACCAAATGAGTTCAGAACACATTTGCGGCAATAAATTTTGCATGTTGCGGTGTAAATGTTGCAAGCGATACAAATCCTCACTATTTTGTTGTCTTATCACTAGAGGTTGGTGGTCCTTGGACTTTTACTAACACAAGGACAGCCGATATGCTACTGCTTAAGTTTTAAATTGTCTTCAAACTTGTCCCCAGGGGAAGGCATGGATTTGTACTTCAAAGAGTTTAGCATTTAAGCTTGATTTTATTCAGACAATCTCAGTGTTTTAGAGTACAATGTAGGTTGTCTGTGATGTGTGCGACTTTGACAAAAATTGTCATGATGGTATGACATCTTATGTACTGATAATTGAATAGTTTAGGTTTAGTTTAGGGTCCCTGAGAGACTGAAATATTTTGTGATTGTCTTGGTAGTTTAATGATCTTAACAGCTGGATTTCTGAAGTATAAATACATGTACAAGAACTGCATTAATCTTCTATTTGCAAAGTGTACTTGCATTTGGCACAAGAAGGGGGTACAATTTGTGAAAAATGTTGTATTTGCTTGGAAAATTTAGTGGAGGGGGCAAGTCTTTGAAATTACCTTTTGAAAATAATGGTAGTATAACAGCACACTGTATGATACATGGGATATTGGTATCAAATACCCACAGTGTGTCTGTGATCTGTGGTGTAACCATCACAGCATACGATACATGTTAGGTTAGTATCACACACCCACAGTGGTATCTGGTAATTGAAATTTGAAAACCACACCATAAATGTTACAGTCAGGAAAATCAATAGTTGTCAGAAAATAGAACCAAGCTGGCTGGCTGGCTGGCTGGCTGGCAGGCTGGCTGGTGTGTCTGTCTGTATGTCTACTTGCCGTCTCTGTCCCGCTGGATTTTACAAGGTACTTAAGTAACGGCTGTTGAATGAAGCAGCCAAGAAGCTGGTCAGCATGGAATAAAAATTCAACAAACAACACTGACATGGTTCTGGAGAGAAATGAGTGGGATATGTTATGAAGTTGAAAACATAGATACCGTGTGGCCAGCTTGGATGATGGTCAAAATAAAGGAAAACAATTTTGAAGCAGTTTAGACAGTGGTTCTGTAATGATTTTATTTTTTGCACATTAAATTATACTAACATGCCAATTTTTTTGTCTCCAACAAATACATAGATACTAATGAAATATCATCTATGTTTTTGAGTCATACCAGAAGTTTAAAAGTATTAAAATATTTTTTTTTGAATTTACAGATATATCAACCAGACCAAACTAACAATAGCTATCCTTCGAACACTTCCACTCCTGTTGGTTCTCCAGCACCCATGTCAGGTAAGATGAACAGAATGTAACAGATGAATGAAACACTTATTCCTACATTAGTAGTTGATATTATCTGTACCGGTAAATCTAGGAACAGCCAAGAAGATTTTTTGTTTTCTTTTCACTGTCATTGTTTACTCTGGAGCTATATACTTGCTTTTGAACGCTAATGTCAACACACAAAATAAACCTACGTTAATATTGAATTTTTCAAATCTTGAACATTTTTGGCAACTAAAATTGATCAATATTTTAAACTGTATGAAGTATTGCTAATTTGGTCAATTTTGTCCTTCAAAAACTTTGCCCAACCCCTCCCATCTTCAATGGTACCAACTTCCTTAGAAACTTAATCATTTTAAATGAGGAACAGCTTCAGACATTTCCGTTTTCTATTACAATGGTTACTGAGATCTTATCTGTTCAAGATTGTACAATGTAAAACTATATTGTCATATTTGTGACATTTTCTCAGAATTACTCGCAACAAAAGTTGAACCTGTGTTGCCCTGGGTGATTTATGTCATTTTCTAATTTTTCTCTGGTCTAACTTATTTGACAACAGCAGGGCAATGGACCAGACCAAGCAGTCAGGCGTCACCTGGTCCCTATGTGGAAAGCCATCTTCATTCTCTGGTAAGTCTGCATACTGTGTTTTCTTGTCTGCAAATAATACTTATTAGTGCATGAATTGTAAGTGAGAAAATTGTCACTGACTACATGGTTCATGGTCAAAAATGCGTACATTTCAATGAGTTAAGTATTGAACTTGAGTCTGACAGGAAATAATGAAACTGTTTAGAGGTCAAACTTAGTGTGTCTGTTATTAATTATATGGTATATATGGTGTTGAATTACGAGTAAACGAGTTAGCTGTTGGGTGCCCCATCCATCATTGTTCTCACCAATTTAATGGGGGGGGGGGTTGACAAGTGAAATATATGCATTTGCTTGAATTATTTTTTTTTCATTTCTAAACACAACTTATTCAAGGATTTTCAACACATTCTGAATGTATTTCTATGATTTGGGTGACCATCCTCAATTTATATACAAAGATTTAGATAGCCAGCTTGGATTCCTCACCTCTGATTGGGGTAGCCATCTTGGATTCCTCACCTCTGATTGGGGTAGCCATCTTGGATTCCTCACCTCTGATTGGGGTAGCCATCTTGGATTCCTCACCTCTGATTGGGGTAGCCATCTTGGATTCCTCACCTCTGATTGGGGTAGCCATCTTGGATTCCTCACCTCTGATTGGGGTAGCCATCTTGGATTCCTCACCTCTGATTGGGGTAGCCATCTTGGATTCCTCACCTCTGATTGGGGTAGCCATCTTGGATTCCTCACCTCTGATTTGGGTAGCCATCTTGGATTCCTCACCTCTGATTGGGGTAGCCATCTTGGATTCCTCACCTCTGATTGGGGGAGCCATCTTGGATTCCTCACCTCTGATTGGGGTAGCCATCATGGATTCCTGATCTCAGGTTGGAGTAGCCATCATGGATTCCTCATCTCAGGTTGGGGTAGCCATCTTGGATTCCTCACCTCAGATGCGGTAGCCATCTTAAATTCATCAGCAAAGAATAGGGTAGTCATCAAAAATCCGGGCAACCATCTTGAATTTAGTGTAATGGTGGAATAACAAATTATTATTAAGTTGCATGTTATTAATTGGTGATGTTTGTTGGTTCTTTTTCTCTTGGTTGTCAATCAGCCAACACGCATGGAAGAAAGACTTGACGATGCAATACATATACTAAGGGACAGAGCCCAGGTAAACATGGTTACTATAGAAACACTGGGTGTAGCTGTAATGGTAATTGGGATGACATGCTTATCTCCCACTCACCCCCATAGTTTGCTATGTATCTGCCTTTCTATGGATGGGCTATACCATTCATAACAATATGGGGGTGAGCAAGGTGAACTGATGCCACTTTTAAACAAAAAAAACAAACTAATTTGCGTTAATATGATAGCTTATGTACCTAGTTAGCACTAGGTAGCCATAGTAAATGCACTAAATATAGTCTCTACCAGTCGATCTGTTGTACAACTTTTGAACAAGGCTGATAATTCATCTGTATTGGTTTTCAGCAAAGTCGTATGGAAGAAAGACTTGATGATGCAATCAATGTATTACGTAACCACGCTGGCGAAGTCTCGTACGGCAACATGTCTATTATTGGCAGTGGTGGTATGGGCGGTAGTCAACATCATCCAACGCATCCTAATGGTGCCATGGAATCCCATATGACGTACCACAATCAATACGACCCTATGGTTCAAGCACATATGGTAAGGCAATATATACCTGGGTAATATTGTCAATATAGCCCTACCATGAAAAGTCTGGTCATTATTCTATGTAAACATTTCAGTCATCTTATTAAACATTCTAATTTCCTTAAATGTTGCATGATCACATTATCATAATAATGTTTTCCATACAGAATGTATTGCCCTCCTATTTGCAATTAATGGCCAAGTTACTGGTAATATAGTCCCCGCCTTTTCTGGCAGTTTTGATGCTGCTATTTGTCTCAACCTCGAAATGTATTAAATTTGATTCAGGACAATATTTCACATGGTAATAGACTGTTTATTTATATAGCTTAGGTTCTGGTGTGTGTCAGCTTGTTGCTTTGTGAAGATTAACCTGTTGATGTTGCTTGTCACTCCCCATTCATGTAGAGCCAATGTTACTGTTATTTTGGATGTTCTCTTGTCATACTTATTCTGCATTGTTAAACTCTTTGAATGTCAAAATTTCTCCTGCTAAATTTGGTGCAGCCTTTTTTGGTATTCTCTTTAATTGTTTAATTTGAACAAAATAAACTTTAGAGTTCTTTGATACAAATTTTGAAAATATATCGAAAAATTTAATGTTTGAATGGTGACAAAAATTGTTTTTGACATTCAAAGGTGAACTGCGAATGATACTTGCTTTATTGAGTCTTCTCCTGTTTGCTGTTAATGGATGAAGTACTGACAGTATTTTAGTCATTTTGTCTTTCTTGACTGATATTACAAGTGCATAGACTTTTTTTTAGTAATTTATTTTTTGACTTGTGAACTTTATACATTTTTATGGCATGGTTGCCATGGCTACCCATTGCTGTGGCTACCATGATCATTGTTGGTATGGTTCTCAATAATCATTTAAAAGTCAAAACCAACAAATGTTTTAAAGTTTATATTTTGGATTGTAACATAGTTTGCAGGTTCTCTTCTTGTCTCTGTAGTCCTATGTATCTGCCATGAGGGCATGACCTATGGGCGCCATTTTACCCAATGAGGAAAGAGCACCTGTTTTTGAGATTTATTTAATAGCCTTAAATGACAAAAACTCCTATAAATCACTTCAGCGAACTTGTGTTCAATCTGAGAGATTAATTTTGTCCAGATTTATTTTGTTGCTTCTTCTCGTGGAAGTAAAACTGAATTGTTAAGATCATATTTTGTTGATTTCATGCTGTATTGTTGAATATACTATCAACATAAATTAACTTTCTAATGCCAATTATTTTTGGACTAAATAGACATACTTTTTTATTTTGTATAAGCCTTGATCAAAATGTTTTGAAAAATATAAAAATTTTGAATGGTAAAAATTAAGTTTTCTTTAATTCTTAAAGGATTAGTCAAAATTTTAAATGCCTGATCAAAATTGTTAGTGATTAAAAGTAGAGGAAAACTAACATTTACTACTGAAATGTACATTGTCAGTGAATAGTTCTTTGAGCAGAAAGTCTCAGTGTAGTTAAGTTTGCTATCAAATTGTGAGAATTTGTAGCCGTGGCAATTCAACACTTGATTAAAGTCGTCTAATAGAGTAACTCAACAAATTGGAACACTTATTCATGGTGATTTTCACCATTTTTATAGCAACATCTTGCTAACATCAGTTTGCTACAAGTAATGATACCACCACACAGACTTCATAAGATTGTTTTGTTGCTACCTCTGTAATTGTGAAATGAGCTTCAATCAGAAAGAAACCTCTCTATTCGTATAAATTATATTAAAATGTGTTGGTGCTCATTTCTAAGCCCTAGTGTGTTTATATTTCAACGATAAATGGTGTCTACATTCAAATGACCTTCCGTCAGTCCAGTCAATTAATCCTAAGAAGATGAAGAAAAACAGTTTTGTTTCTTGAGAAATGACTTTGACTTTGACAGTTTATGGGTGTAGTGATTTATCATAGTTTGGTTCCATTGTAGTCTTTGGTTTATTTTCATTTCAATGGGTGGTCAGTAAAACCATATGAACGTTGTCGTTTTCACTTGTCAATTTCAGGAAGATTAAACTACGATTAATCATCTAGTTATCAACCTTTCTGAAACCAGTGATCTGTCATTGTCCGCTCTGTTTAAAATGTTTTAGTTCGAGCCTAGTTTATTCATTTTCTTTTCTACAAGTTCTTTGATAGCAACTGCTAAATTCTTTAGATGTTTGTGTCATGTGACTGGGTACCCAGTAGTACATGCCTTGCATGTGATCAATATAGCCATCCCTCTGTGATGACAATGTCAGCGATGTCAAGACGAATTCTATATTCATATCAACATTCAGACTTTTCACAACTCTGCTACACAAGTCTGTCTACTCCTATGGTTTGCACAAGTTTACCTATTTTGATACGTGTCTTTAATGCGCTGTTTTCTTAAAACTGTGAAGCATGGCAGTTTTATCATTCTTGTCCACAGTAATATCATGCTTGACATTTTGTCAGTTGTGTTATCGATATATTAAATTAACAGGCAATTTAGATGTTATCACTAATAAACTGTTTAAAACAAAATTTGAAACAGAACTGAACATTACGTCAGGTTTTGATCAGTATAGCTCGCATATGCCAAAAATTTCAGGATTTGTTTTTTGGCCAAATTGAGGTTTTTCAATTGAAGTTTTGTGTAAAAAAAAAAAAAGACTGAAAGAAATCTTCACTGTGGCAAAATTTTATCTAATTTCTAAGTGTCCGAAAACATATCAGTTTGAAAATTGAAGCGTTTCACAGTATTATTACTATGCAATTTAGTCTCCTCACTTGAGCAATGTAGCTGAGTGAGTATATTCTGGTGGACGGTCTGGATAACACCAATACCATGATACTGCGATGTTCATCTAAAGATGGAATAATTGTAGTTGAATTCAAGAAGTAAAAATGCCTTAGTGTAGAATAGTGCAAGCATAGGATGTAAGCTGATATTTCTCTGTTTGCTTATATTGCCATTCGATGCGTTCATGCACAGTCAGTGACTGCATCAGATTGTTTGTAGTGGTTCCACTTCAACACCGTTGTGGCTGTAAAAGACCACGGTGTCGTGCTGTAAGAACAAAATTAGGATGTGGCTTTACATGTCTGCTTGTCTCAAGTGGGAACCACATGTGACTTTTACCGAATTCTGCGTTAAATGATGTATATCTGTGACATAAGCAAGTCGGTATCGTGCGCTTTGTAGTTGTAAATAAACCTAGAAGTTTAACAACTAGGCCTGGCAGAAGAATTTTTTGAAAAGTTTTTACAAGCCGTTTCAATTAAAGCTAGCCATTATACGACACTCAGTCAGCAGCATGCCGAGAATATGTTCAAATTGTAATGATTACCTTCTGCTTTGGAATATTTTTTTGCTGATTTGAGATCTCTCGGCTTATTCTACTATTAATATACTGTATTTAGATAAAGGCATGGGTGGGTATTGATGGCTGCGTTGGTCTGTATACACCTGTTCAGTGCCGCACCATCCTTATTACAGTGCTACCCCGGGATTGTTAACATCACTCTGAAATTGGAAACAGTCTTGTAACTTGCTACAGTGTGTTTATAGAGTGTATCATTACAGTTGATTATAACTGGTAGCTCTTCCCTGGCCACTAATTATAAGAATCCAACCATGTTCAATACTTTGAAGCTTGGTTGAACTCACACAACTTTATCACACTCCTGCGCAAGCCTTAGGGGAAAGCATAACTTCATACATCCTTAGGATCTTTACCTCGTTGCTCAGTTAGTCTCTTTGAAGTACTTTCAGGAGCAATGTGGTGTTCTCAATGCGACTACGAGAAGACATCGCCATCGTCATCATGTTCCCGCTTACATTATTACAACTATCACCCGTACTATTGGGTAAAGTAAAATCGTCTTTAGTAGTTTTTTACTTGTCTGTTGTTGGCATGGTTACCACCTGGTTACAGAACATAATTCTTTGGCACTTGTGTAAAGCTATATAGCTGTCCACCAATAGCTTTCATCTGTTGCTGTTTGCATTTTTTGTCATCAGTTTTTATCTTTATCAAGTTCATTGTCAGTGTTTCTATCATTGAGGTGTATATCGTTGGGGTCATGCAACTCTTACCCTAGGCATAGTATAGGAATGTTTGAGCATGTGTCAGCACTATATGCAAGTCCACATGCTGCTGCTATGTAGTGCTCTGTCGAAGTGAATTTTGAATATTATACTTTAGGCATTTCAACCCAAAAAACTCGGCTCCACTCAAAATGAATTCTTTCAGTTAAAATCTTGCTTTTGTAATATTGAAAATAGTTATTAAACTCGCTTCATTCTACAATAATATCACTTTTATGTCACCCTTGCATGTCTCTAAATGTCTTTGTTGGTTTCTTGTCTAATCAAAATTAGAAATAGATGCTTTTAGCTATCAAGGTAGCGAGTAGATGATCTCGGGTGATTGAAATATCTTTGCACACCATTTCTGTTTTCTTGGTAGTGGAATGATTTCTTGTTACCATTGGGACTGTCTTTTAAAAGATTTGATACTGTTCCACTGTTTGGAGGATCATCCTCTAAATCTTTGTGTGCCATAGATGTATGGACATTTGATAAATACGCTTATCAGTAGGGTAAAACTAACCTGTCTCACGACGGTCTAATCCCAGCTCACGTTTATTGTTTATTCTCTTATTTCACACCACCATGTGTAAACTGGGTATGACAAGATTGTACCTGTCTTATGTAGGGTGGAAAGGGTTAGGGCTGGGGCCTGTCGTATAGATGAGTAATGTAGATTTGGTGCTTTTGTCCTATTGTTGGGTAAGGGCAAAGATTGGTTCTGTTCCGGTTATCGGTTTACTGTAACACTTTGCCAAGGAACTGACAAGCATTGGATTTGATCAATTGGTTTAGGAATTTCTCTGCCATGATGTGATTTATTGCCAGTAGTGATATGGGTCAGAATATGTAATGGAGTGATATTGACAGACATTGGTGTGGTGTCTTTTAGTGCATTATGGTATATTGGGCTGGTTGAGTGATGCACACTTGGTAGAATTAAGGATAAAAGTACAGCAAAATGTTTGGTGCAATATTGTTTTTCGCCACTAACACAAGTCTAGTGTAAATTTCCTGGTATGGTGCCAAAGAACTGCCATGATTATTTTGTGGTGCTGATGACATTGTACAGTTGGAATCTAGAGTTGTTTAATTTATTAGCTTTTTTAAATTGCAGTATTTACTCCATTAGTAACATCTAAATTTATATGAATAACAATGGTGTGTCTGTTTCTAAAAGAAGTGACATTTTAATCATCCAGTGTACATTTAATTGGTTTACCTGCGCTTCTGTTGAAGATGCGTTTCTTATGCGGTACATATTTTCATGCTATTGATATCGTCTATCTGGACCTCTAGATATTGCAAGTATTATTTGCATGGTGTAGCATTGCGCATGTTATACAGATTTGTGTAATGTTTACATATAGAGTGTTGTATTCATGGATGAGTTGATTGTGTTTGTACACACATGTTTGCAATCAGGAAGCCATTATTCCCAGTACAGTCATTAGAACTATCTGTAATCCACATGCGATGACAGATTCATTACCATCTTTCTTGCTGTACAGATATAACTAACCTAGACTTTCAACTTTATGGTTTCTTTTGCGATTGTGTAAGTGTACTGTAAATAGGAATATATTCACTGGGTTTAAATTTATTTGCAGCCTGGTCCGCCTTCGCATGGTCACCAACCACATCAACCAATGTCAGATGAAGTGCCCAGTCCTCACTCACGTTTACGTAACTCAGTGCCTGTTGGTGGCTCAGCCACAACTCCTGATATTGCACAACCTCAGCAGCCTTTTAATGGTTAGTACTTCTATCTTATCTAGACTTACATGAAGATTATTAGCAGCTTGGAAGTCCATTGGATCAAACATGGAGTGTTTAAATAAATAAACACTGTTATTTTTTTGCAAGGCATTATCAATGTTAACCAAGCTGTTGATAGTCTTGGGAGTTGTCATGGTGACGCAGTCACTGCACATTTTTCACATGGCTTTGTGCAATGACTGGGACACTTTCTGTTTCTGTAATCTTGCGTCTTTGTGCTAAACTAGGCGATGCCACCTTGCTTTGCTTTCCTTCAACACTTTCTTCTGCATTTCTGTCGCTTCAACAGTGTTGTTATTCGGTCGTGAGACTTTTTCGATTACAATTTAATTCTAGTATTTGTCTGCCTTTAAATGATTTTTGGTCAGACATATGCTAGAATTTTTTGGAAACGTACAAGTACTTATATTGTTGGTAAACATGAACACTTGTTGTTGACAGCTAAACACTTGAATCTAATTAACACTGCTTAATGATTTTCAGCACCAATAAACTTTGCACTAAAACCTTCACTAAACACTCCACTAAAACTATAAATTCAGAACACCAAACTAAACGCTAACCATCTGCATTGATGACATGACTGAACACCATATTGCAACCTACAGAAAAGTTCACCAGAAAACCCCTGATCCCAGATAATCCAAATACTGATCATTCTATGACTACTTATCATCAACTACCTTCGCCTGGCTCTGAATCGCTACATTTATTGTCAACGCTGAAAAATCTCCAACACAGCTTTCAAGGTAATTTTCCCTTTCCTGCTATTTTTTTTTGTCTGCGCAAATTATTTTCCCAAGCTTTTCTCTCCTTCCCACAATCCTTTGCACTGCTATGGTTTTTGTTTATCCATAACACAAAGATTTACGGTTTTGTTACGTATTTCAGAATTAACTGAAATCACAAGTTCGAATATTCTGTATTGATCGTTACCTATAACTAATCGTTGGTATTGCTACACTTGATCTTTAAATTTCTTATTTTCTCTGAAAATGTTCCTGAATGTTAACTGCAGAACACAATTTACAAAATTGTTTGTGTGCAGCTTTCAGTGGCTATAAAGTTCATGTAGGCAGGTTTTAGTCAATTCAGTCTCAGACAGGTTTTATTGAGATGGGACTGCAAAATAGGGTACAGTTTTTACAGGCTTCAGATAATTTTCAGAAGAAAAAAAAAAAAAAGCTATTTTTTCGCATGAATTGCAGTCAGATAACTTCTTGTAAAAAGTTTGGATATTGCTCAACCCTAAGCTAGGTTATTTGAGATGAAGTTATTGGTAGTTTATTGGTAGTGACCCTTTCTGACCTTTTTCATCTTGGTTAAACCATTCTGTATCAGGGGTGGGTGTCTATTTCTTCAGGAGGGGTTTGGTCAAAAAAATATTCTGACACTTTAGGAAAGGGGGTTACACATAGAAGTTTTTAGGTAACAAATGGACGGGGCAACAAGTTAGAAATCAATATATCATGGCCGCTCTTTGAAATAATTATTTGTATACTTCTTGCTCAATCTTGTTATCGCATTCAGCTTTGAAAGTTCAGACTTCCTATGAGTAGGGGGGTCACCAGAATGAATTAATTTTGTAAAATGTTGTCAGTATTAAAGACAATTAATTAATGCATGCCATGGTCACTGATCCTGGCGCTAATCAAGACCAGGTCTTGTAAACTACAAACAATGGGTTAGTTTACCAGTTTCAGATCTAATTAGAATCGATAGGCAGATCAGATTTCACCAGTAACATGAAATGAACACATGAAGTGTGCTGGTATGTGTTTTAATCCAATATTTTGCTTCCCGGACCATCGCTATACGAAATACGCTGAATACCTCTCCATTTTCTCATTGTGACTCACAGCACGAAAAAGCGAACGTAATTGTATATTGCCGCTTTATACTACTCTTGTAGGCATAAAACCGACTAAATAAAAACTAGATTTATTATTTCACAGATTGCTTACCCTAAAATGTAAAGAAATTACTTTTCAACTACCGTATTTGGATGTTGGATTTGTCTAAAAAAAATGTTCAAGTGTAATTAAAATTCTTGACTGCCTTCTGATTTTATGTAAATTTGTTAGAAACGTGTCTAGATAAGTCAAATACGAGTCATCTTTTTTTTTTGGATTGCTATCATTCATTAATACCAAATACAATACAGGCATTGCTGTGTCTTGTACAAATGTTTACTTTACAGGTGTTCGCTGAGTCAGAGTTTTAACCCATTCTAATCATATTTGTTTTTCTTAAAGGAATACTGGTAATACACAAAACAATTTGATTGGATAAGGATTGACCTGCATTGCATCATGGGTATGCATTTAAGAATGTTGATAAAATATTTGTTTTTATTTAACAGCTGTTCAGAATGAGATGCTAGGTCAGAATGGATCACCATCTCAAGGTATCAAAATTGAAAAAATAGATCAAGACAAAAATGACAAGTCTAAAGAAAAGAGCAATAAAGATGGCAAACAGGAGCATTCAGATGGAAGTATGGTATCCGGGCAACCAGGGGGAAGATCGAAAAAGTCGAGGTGCGGAAATATTGATGTATTATACACACCAGTTAGAGTTGATATTAATATTTGACAAATCAAATTTAGTAATTGTATCCCATTGGTGGAATGGAACATATGATGGCTATGAACAGATCACATTGACATATTATTGTTTATTGCTTGTTTTTGTAGAATCGCGTCAATCTTCGATATTCGTATTCATAGTAGTTTTCAGATTCTTGCCCATTTTCACATTTCATTCAAGTATCTAATGTCATCTGTCAACTCACCTAGGGAGTTCATTTATCTGGGCATGTACCGACAGGTTATTTTCACTTGCCTAGGGAGTCTTAGCTCTTGTCAACATTTGCATCATATTTTGTACTTGCTTTCAGAATGGATGATTTTGATGTTCATGAAAAGATGGGTGCTGAGAAAAGAAAGTGAGTCTCCTCAACAGATATCTGAATGTAGTCATGTGATGTCTGAATGTAGTCATGTGATGTCTGAATGTAGTCATGTGATGTCTGAATGTAGTCATGTGATGTCTGAATATAGTCATGTGACGTCTGAATGTAGCATAGTTGGTGTTAGTGGTAATGGTTAATTCTATTGGTAATTGCTAATTCATGCCATACATATGATATAATGTTCAACTCGTACAAATCAACAAACCAACCATCTTGGTGCCTAGGGTTCGCCTCAGGACAGTAATGCTGTTGAATTGCATGCATATTTGACTAAACTTGTGAAAAATGAACTGAAACGCAGTCGTCAATTTGTTATTGCTCAGAAACCAAATATGGACCAGAATATTAACAATTCTTTTCTCTACATGCAATTCTGTTTAGTATTAATCAGTCTTTGAGGTCTATACCCACAATGCATTGTGTTTACCTGTTTAACCACTGTATAAATGTAAACTTTCATGAGCGGTTAACGTTAAATGTTTTTTTACGTCTCCAGACCACCAGAAGATGAACCCCCAGAAGTACGAGCTGTACGGGAAAAGGAGAGACGTCACGCCAATAATGCCAGGGAACGAATTAGAGTTAGGGATATTAATGAGGCCTTCAAGGAGTTAGGCCGCATGTGTGCACTGCACCTGAAAAGCGATAAAGCGCAAACAAAACTTGTTATTTTACATCAAGCTGTTAGCGTTATTACGAGTTTAGAGCAACAGGTCCGAGGTGAGTGTCTGCAGGTTGGAGGTCACAGGTCAAGAGGTCACGCCCTATTGCATGAATTGTTCTGCAAAGAAAGAAAGAAATTGGGTGATTAATTTAGGGGGGGACTGGGGGGACCCTCTGCATGAGAGTAGCATAATAATAAAATATTCCATTTTGGTGTTTCAATACCCTTTTTCGATTTTGAAAAATAAAAAAAATAATAAAAGCAGATATTTTGTGAAAATGGAGATTACTTTATTTCCACATAGAATATATTGTGTAACAAAAAATAACAAATCAAGAAAAAAACTTCTCGGCTAATTAAATTGCAGAAATGACAAAATGGAAATTACTTCCAATACAAATTTATAATGGCTAATAAAACAAAACAAAAATTCTTTGCCCAAATAATACTACATAATTATGATTTTCGGCTTGTGTAAATTCCAGCTGGAATAAGGTAGTCTTCAATATTTTCCAAATCTGACTCAATATTAAAACAAAATTTGTTTGCAAATTCTTAATTTTAATGTTGTTTATCCCAGAACGCAATCTTAACCCTAAAGCTGCTTGTCTCAAGAGACGAGAAGAAGAAAAAGTAGAAGAATTACCAAATCGAGCAATAACAGGGCCTCCTCCACCAGGTGGAGATCAAGGCGCGTTAGGAGGTATGTCTAGAAATGGTTATATAAGTAAAAACCTTGACCATTCTAAGACATTAGTGACCTATGACCTTAAGGGTGTGTTGATTTACTCTTGAAATCGGATCAATGTTAAGAGTTACATGTAACAACAACAAGTTTTGATTGTACTTTAATGCTTTTGATCTTTGAGCGCTTGCGTCCTAACTCATTGAGCTTGGAATTGATGATTCAGACAAGCTCAACTGTGTTGTCATGGAGACAGTAATGCAGACATGGCTGATATCATCATGGCAACTCTGATGTCATATCCTGTTTCACAAGTCTATTGGGGGTGTTGCATTTCCAAAGAGACTATCTGACAGCATATTCATTGCATTTGCAGCTTAAAGTAAGATTTGTTTGAAGTAGACCATCATTCCATCCCATTACATAAAAATCATAAATTCGATGAACTATTTGAGTTTATATCATCTTCTTTAAAAAAAAAGGAGAATGGCATGTTTTCTTGATCACTTGCTAAAATCTGATTTTGCTTCTTTTTTTTTTTTGGACCTGCTACTTCAAATAAATCGGCACTCTCACTGCAAGCTTTACATTACTATGTGCTGTCAGTTAGACTTTTTACCCACAGTACCTTGTATCATAACCAGGATGTAACATTCCGAGAGTGAGGCAATATACAACTTACTTTTATAAACCACGCCAACGCTATCAGTCACCAACGATATCATTTGTTACTTTTGGTTTAATCTACATTCACTAATGTAGTCACAAACTGTAAAAAATTCCTTACGAAAGCATTTGGCTGGAGGTTGATGAGAGAGCGAAGGAGGGAGGGGAAGGGGGGGAAGAGATTGGGAAGAGTAGGTGGGGGGACTATTATTGAAGACAGGAGGGAAACCACTCAGAAGGCAAGTATTCACTTTATTTAGTTGTTCATTCTGTTCAGTAGTCATGTGCTCATCATATGATTGTTCCCATGATTCATAGTACAGAATTTCCCATGATTCATAGATCTCACTTGGCATGTCTCGACCATTTGATAATTTCAAATTTCCATTTCCATGTAGATTAAAACATTGTAGTTATTTCCCAAAATAAATTTGATGAATACGTCCATCCAATTTGAATTAATTCCATATCGTATTCGTTTTTGATTGCTACCTTACAACACTGCCAATCTCCTCCATTGCCTTGTGTCACATTTTGCCTTTGTTGCATTTTGTTCATTTTTTCTTTGATTTTTTAAAAATTCTGTGTAAATTGTTATTATTTGTGCCTCTATGTTGATGTTGAATTTTCACGTAATGCGAGAAAAGGTTAGTAGAATAATGCCATGCTGTGCAGAGCAGTGTTGTATGAATGTATACTTTACAATTCGTTAAAATTACATATATTCTCTAAAAATTTCAGGCAAAATTTTGAAAATCAACTGCTAGAAATATTGTGTTCATCAAAATTCCTAAATTATATAGAAGTACAACAGGTTACGTAAAAATAGTGTTTTGATATCACATACAGTCTATCGTGCTCAATCTGGACTACTGGTAATAATCACTAAAATGTGAACTTAATTTTGTTTCACAATGCGTTTCAAAATGGTTGCCAATTTTTTGAAGGTTTAGTATCCAGTTTTCCAAATGCTTGTTGGCCAATTTGTTTCAAAATGGTCTATCGGTGGCCATGTTGTTAAATTTTACGCATGTGTGTACTCAACTTAAAATGTGTTGATTTTTTTGCTGGACATAATAGTTTCATGAAAGCACATTTGTTTCTTGGATTTGATTCAATATTGCTCACTGGCAGTCTACCTAGTAATGTGATGAGGTTTTTGAGTAAAGTTCATTCTGAAACCATGATATATTAGTGATTTTAGAATATTCACAAGACCAAACTTATGTGAAATCTGTGACCAGGTTCAGCATCTTGTTAAGCAATGCAAGGTTGTGACCAGGTCCAGCATCTTAGTAGACAATGCAAGGTTGTGACCAGGTCCAGCATCTTAGTAGGCAATGCAAGGTTGTGACCAGGTCCAGCATCTTAGTAGGCAATGCAAGGTTGTGACCAGGTCCAGCATCTTAGTAGGCAATGCAAGGTTGTGACCAGGTCCAGCATCTTAGTAGGCAATGCAAGGTTGTGACCAGGTCCAGCATCTTAGTAGGCAATGTAAGGTTGTGACCTGGTCCAGCAACTTAGTAGGCAATGCAAGGTTGTGACCAGGTCCAGCATCTTAGTAGACAATGCAAGGTTGTGACCAGGTCCAGCATCTTAGTAGGCAATGTAAGGTTGTGACCTGGTCCAGCATCTATGTAGGTAATGCCAGGTTGTGACCAGGTCCAGCATCTTAGTAGGCAATGCCTGGTTGTGACTAGGTCCAGCAACTTAGTAGGCAATGCAAGGTTGTGACCAGGTCCAGCAACTTAGTAGGCAATGCAAGGTTGTGACCAGGTCCAGCATCTTAGTAGGCAATGCTAGGTTGTGACCAGGTCCAGCATCTTAGTAGGCAATGTAAGGTTGTGACCTGGTCCAGCATCTATGTAGGTAATGCCAGGTTGTGACCTGGTCCAGCATCTTAGTAGGCAATGTAAGGGTGTGACCAGGTCCAGCATCTTAGTATGCAATGTAAGGGTGTGACCAGGTCCAGCATCTTAGTAGGTAATGCAAGGCTGTGACCTGGTCCAGCATCTTAGTAGGCAATGCAAGGTTGTGACCAGGTCCGGCATCTTAGTAGGCAATGCAAGGTTGTGACCAGGTCTAGCATCTATGTAGGTAATGCCAGGTTGTGACCAGGTCCAGCATCTTAGTAGACAATTCAAGGTTGTGACCAGGTCCAGCATCTTAGTAGGCAATGCCTAGCTGTGACCAGATCCAGCATCTGAGTAGGCAATAGCTGTCGCCGGGTCCAGCATCTTAATAAGTAATGCCTGGCTGTGACCAAGTCCAGCATCTTAGTAGGCAATGCCTGGCTGTCACCAGGTCCAGCATCTTAGTAGGCAATGCCTGGCTGTCACCAGGTCCAGCATCTTAGTAGGCAATGCCTGGCTGTCACCAGTCCAGCATCTCAGTAAGTAATGCCTGGCTGTCGCCATGTCCAGCATCTCAGTAGGCAATACCTGGCTGTGACCATGTCCAGAATCTTTTTAGTCAATGTCCAGGCCTGGTTGGGACGAGGTCCAGCATTCTGGTGGGTAATGCCTAATCAGGACTTCTTATTTAAATACTGGTTTGTGACCAGGTCCAGTGTCTTGGTAGGCAATGCCAGTTTGTGACCAGGTCTAGTATTTTGGTGGGCGACGCCTGGTTGTGACCAGGTCTATCATCCTGGTAGATTGTTCTGGGTTTTGTTTCGGCTTGAAAGGGCATCATTTTCAAGGCCAAAATTTATAGAATCCTTGTGTACAAATCCAGCCATGTTGGTAGGTATTGTTGGTAGGTCAACCATCTTGAAAGATGAAGCCAGGTTGTGACCAGGTCTAGCATCTGGGTAGGTAATGTTTGGTTGTGACCAGGTCTAGCATCTGGATAGGTAATGCCAGGTTGTGATCAGGTCTAGCATCTATGTAGGTAATGCCAGGTTGTGACCAGGTCTAGCATCTGGATAGGTAATGCCAGGTTGTGACCAGGACTAGCATCTGGATAGGTAATGCAAGGTTGTGACCAGGGCTAGCATCTGGATAGGTAATGCCAGGTTGACCAGGTCTAGCATCTATGTAGGTAATGCCAGGTTGTGACCAGGTCTAGCATCTGGATAGGTAATGCTCAGGTCCAGCATCTGGATAGGTAATGTCAGCTTATGACTAGGTCTAGCATCTATGTAGGTAATGCCA